AAAATTTAAATCTATTTAGCGATGTTGTTTGTTATATAAACTCGGTTTATACAAAAATGCATATAATGTATCTCTTTCTCTACAAAAGAACACACTTTTTCAATCTTTTTTAAAATAAAATATATAATGAAATGATGAAACCTAAGGTGTCATTGATTTAAACTGCCGGTGCTTACAAAATACAGGCTTTGAATAATTAAATCGCTACAAGTCATTATAATTTTGTTTGTTCAGCTCAATCATAAAAGCTTCCTTCCGGGCCTCCTACTCAGACAAACAGTTTCTGTGTTAAGGATATACGATCCTCAGCCAGGAAGGATAACTCTTTAATTTATAATTTAATTCAAAAAGTCTTAAAATAAAGCTTGAAATTGAATTTTTTTCATGCAACAATTTTCATTTTATGCCTCTACGTATGAATCAATGTTCTTTAAAGTTTTAACAAACGGTATTAAAAAAGTTGACATTTGTACCTCATAAAATAAAGTAAAACTTGCGTGTTTTAAAAAAATCAAATTTCTTTAAATTTAGCCTTAGTTACCAATGTTTTTAAGCATGATTTGAAATTAGAAGTGATTTACGGTGTTTTCATTGAAAGGAAACACTTCATACACTATGCATTATGAAACGATGGAAGTAAGTAGGAGAAAGTAAAGTACCAAATAAGTGTAAAATTCATGCAATTTTCTTTAAAAGCCTGGATACCTATGATTTTTTTTCCTCAAATGTATTTCTTGATCAATTATCAATTAAAAAATATGCAATAGGTAGTTCAAATCGCATTTCCTGAAAAATTATTTGAGATTTACTAATTTTCCCTATATAATATGATTAAATTTAAAGATGAAGTTTAAAGAAACACCGTGGGTAAATACATTTTAATTTGAGAATTTAGAGACATCTTTGTGAGCATTTTCAATTACTCAATACCTGATTTTCAGAACCTGAGGATCGGATAACCTTAAAAACGGGGAAAAGGTTCAAATACATTTATACAGAATGATTTGAAAATAACTTATTTAACTCGCACTGCTTTCAGATGAAACAATGTGAAATTGTTTTTCCTCATTTACTATGTATTTACCGCGTAAGGAATATCTATTAATACTACAAGTCACAATATGTCTATGTACTTAAAAGGGAAAGTTTTGCAATACTAATATATCATACAATATGAAATAAAATGTAAAGTTTCCAAATGTAAGGCTGCTAATTGCAAAAATGATTAAAACTGTTCATACAGTAATTGACACGCCTGAAATAAATTTCAATCAAAGTCTTTTCGAAAGGCTTGATCTTCTTTTATACTTTTGAAAATGGTTTAAAGAAATATTTTTATATATTGAATTGATTAATTAGGTTCGCGAATACATAAATGATGAATGCTAAAAATGATATATTTTTTTCATATTTTAATAAAATCTCAATTTGTCCAAAGAAAGTAATCACGTATGCCTGCTTATGTCCTGAAATCAATAAATGCTGAACATTTGTTTACAAATAATAATATTTTATTTTTAATTGTCAATTAAAACGAGAGCAATACAACAAAAGTTTTTTTATAAACAGAAATGTCAAACCAAATACAATTTAATTGACATGAGTTAATATTTTAGGCAGAAAACAGTATCACTAAATATTCTCTCTTGAAGCTTTATTATACGAGGGACGTTCAATAAATAATGTCCTCGGGGTTCGGAAAGAAGCAAAATAACCATTTGCAATGATTTAGTCTTCATGATTTTACTTATTTATCCTTTTTGATTAAAACAGATGTCCGTAAAATTTTTTATTTAATTTCTGATTGTATTTAGAACTCATTTTTGGGTATGACCCTTAGTATACTGGAAAATGGCAGATCCAATGATTTCCTGGACTTGTTTCTTCTTTCTGAAAGGTGGTTTTTCAAGTTTGGAAATAGAAACAAGTCAAAAGGGCAAAGATTTTGCGAATATTGTTAATGTGAAAAAATATTAACGTTCTTTTTATCCCGAAAACCCCTTTATTCTTCAGGGGTGCGGGTTTGGACGCTGTCATGAAAAAATTTAATGTAGTGGATTCCTGATTCTAGGTCCTTCCTCTAATAAACCTTTCGATTTTTTTGCAAAAAATTGCTTTCTAGACTCCTCAAGAAATTAAACTGTCTCCCCGAATACGAAATTGAACAACAGTACCACTAATATTTAAGAAAATTGCATATAAACCTGTCTTTGTGCTCTTGCATACCTTTGCTCTTGTCGGACCTTTGCTGTTTTTATTAAGTACATCTTATGGTAAACTTTGTATTGAGTGTTTTAAGCAATAGATTCATGTTTCATTATCTGTTTGAATATGAAACAAACGTGGATAACTACAATTACTGAACATTTATAATAATTGTTAAGACATTCCTACACGCTGTCGTTTTCACTCTTTTTTCAAAATAAAGGGTGATCTTTGAGTACCAAGCTTTTTTTAACGTCAAACGCTTTTTAGAAACATTGTAAACTACTTCCTATATGATGTCTATCAAATTTGCTATGTGTCTCAAAGTCGGTCATACATCATCAGATATTATTTGTTGAAATTGGGCAATTAGTACATAAGTTGTTATATTATTTGTTGCCAAGGACGGTACCCATTTTTGATGCTTATTATATAATTCTTTATCATTGAAATCCACTTGCTTATTTGTGTATAAAACAGGCAATGGTTGATGTAAATGACACATATTTCAGTGAATATTTCTTTGGGATTTTTAGTTTTACAGCAGCTTTAATGAAGCTTTTATTTTCACTCTAGTTTACTGATTCTTTACCATTCATTTATAATGCAGTGTCTCGAATAGCCCTTGTTTCCCAGCTTCTCACGATGAAACTATGTGATGAAAAGTGGTCACATAAACTGTTATCAATTCATTAAAGATTCAATAATGAGAGAAAGTCTAGCTTAATGTCATATGATATCTATGTTGTATGTCATCGAGCTTATGACATTATTTATTGAACGTTCCTCGTATCTTGAAAAAATCAAAAAATATATAGAATTATTGAATTTTCACTTCTGAAAAGAAATAAAATAACTGTTTTAAATTACAAAATACATTATTATAATTATATGCTTTGTTATCTACCTAAAAACCAAGATGAAGCCTCTCGTTCATTTCGTCTCAAATGGTTATTAAGATAAAAATATCATAACGTATACATACTTAACGATTACATGTAATTGCAATTTCTGACTAGATCATAATATCCACCAGACTGTATATATTCTTGTTTCATTATCTTGTTCGTCAGTAATTTACCTCGTTTTAAAATAGTTCATACGTAGAAAATGCTCTTGCGTATCGAATCAACTGAGAGATATACAATGTAAAACCTGACTGCAGATGATGAAGGTGTATCTGCATAAGTAAGGGAAATTGTTGATTGAAAAGTTGTCATTGAGTTCATCATGAAAAACACCAACACACAAATTATAAGACTACCATATTAATATATTTTTTCATGGTAATATATTCAAGAATATATCAGTTTATGTATCTATAACTTGATTTTACATCTATTTAAAACCAAATATGCCTTTATTTTCATAATTTTGCAGATGTAATGGAGCTTTTCACAGATTTGGATGAAACAACATTGGAGAGGAAGATGGAAACCGATGGATTAACAACCAAAGGTATAATATATACGATAAATTGAAGATAAATTGCAACCATATTTTTTAGAATCATTTTAAGTGCATATTTTTTAATATATTTTATATTTCTCTATCGAATTCCACCTCTGATTTTTTGGAGGTCCCTGTTTGTTCCTCTACAATTTTGTATTCATTTGTTTTATTAAGTTTTATAGCTTGAATACTGTTCCTTATCTCCATATATTTCACTTTATATCTCTTTAAAGGTGAAATAAGTTCATCAAACAATTTTCATCTCGGGAAGGATTCCACTACTCTCAGTGCAATGAATTCCATAAGCACAGAAATTACAAGTAAAAATGGTAAATGGTCTAGATAATTAACCTACGGAGACATTTTCAAGTTGCTTTCTCACTAAGTTATCTTGTACTATCTAACTAAGAGTATACTATTCTTAATCAAAATACTTGCATACTGAAAAATTCAAAATATAGCGTTTCTTTTCTCGGAAGGTTCATGGAAGAATGTCAAAAATGTAATATTACTAATATCAAAAAGCTGAGGAATGTATGTAATTGTTTTGAAAACCTTCAAATTCTCAACACATCCAGTCGTTTTTTCAGCTAGATAAAAAAAATAGTTTTAAAGAATAATTCACACAATCGTTTGAAAATACAAAAAGTGTAGTGATTCTGTAAGATCTAAAGAATTTTACCATAGTAATACTAACTTAACTCCATTTTTTGTTGTACATTAAAATATTTGTGTGTTTGATGTATCTTCTTTTACAGGTATATGCTTGTTTTGAGTCTTATGTATTTTATATCTTTATTTCTTCATAATAGTTTATGAATTGTCTCAGTTAAAGAGTTTTAAAACACATGTTTCTGTTAATTATCAATAGTCCAATAAAAAAGAGAATACACATATACTTTTTGCCTTTGAAAGTTAATTTGTATTATAAAACTTTTAAAAATTTCTTCATTCAAACAAAGAGGAGGCACCTGATTGTCGACTGCCGGGGGTGTTGTACAGAGGAACTAAAAACGTGACAATAACGGGACGGGTGTGTCAAAAGTGGGTCAACCAGAATCCGCATGAACACAACTATGATGTTTTCAGTCTTGCCCAAGAGAACTATTGCCGGAACTTTGACCGAGAGGAACCATGGTGCTACACAAGTGACCCCGATGTACGCTGGGAACTCTGTGATGTCAAAGTCTGTGGTTAGTTTTGAAATATTTCATTTTACTATATAATATAATAATGAAAAGATAAAAATTACAAACTATATTCAATCTAAATAGTATAAAAAGTATGATTGGTACATTAAAAGACGTTAACACCATATGCAGGTTGTAGCGAAATACTACTATTAGAAGGTTGATGATGAGCTCATTGCTCACAGTAACTCTAGTTTTTTACAGCTTTTTTTCTGAATGGGAAATAAACATTTTTCCTTTTTTCTTCATTTCAGTAACGCCTTGTCTCAACCAGTCTTTTTATAGCTTTGACGTCATTAAACAGTGCTACTTGGACTATAATCAACAGACAGACTGCGAGTATGTTTTCATTTATTATGCTACCATAAACAATGATATAGTTTTGCCCTGTTCGTCCGTCTAGCTATCTGATTGTCTACAGAGAATCTCAAGAATTATCTCAAGAATCATTGGGCCAATTTCAACCAAACTTGCCACAAAGTATCCTTTGGTGACGGGAATTCAAATTTGTTCAATGAAGGGCCAAGCTCTCTTCCAAGGGGAGATAATTATGGATTTAGGAAAAATTAATGGCATCTTTTCGAAATCTTCTTCTTTCTTTCTTTATTCTTTAAGCCAAATTCTCATCAGATTTTATACAGCATATAAACATGATAAAGAGTACAGAATAAATATTATTTACAAAAATACACTAAGGATATAAATGTTAATAGTAGTTACAAATTAGACTTTCGTAGTAGCTTTATATAAAAATTTTCCCAAATTAGACAACTCTTTTACATTCTGACTACTCATTAAACTTACAACTTTAGATACACTTGCTTTGTGATAATAATACTTCTAAATGTACATACTTCTCAGATTTTCATAAAATGGACATTTTAAAATGAAATAAAATTCATCTACAATATCATTAGAGGGCATAGTGTGCAAATTCTTTGAGATCTAAGTTTATCATTATATCTACCAGTTTCATTTTTTAATTGGTGGTTTGATAATCTAATCTTGGTGAGCATTCTCCAGAACCATTGGGCCAGGAAAGATGAAAATCATGTTGGAGCATCCTCAGGTAGTGTAGATTCAAGTTTGTTCAAATCATGACCTAAGTGGTAGGATGGGGCCTCAATGGCTGATCAAAAGTTTTACATAGGAATATATAGGAGAAATCTTTTTTTAAAATTTCTCCAAAAATCATTGGGCCAGTAAAGATGAAACTAATGTGGAAGCATTCTCAGGTAGTTAAGATTCAATTTTGTTCAAATTATGACCCCCTATCTATCTGTTTGTTTTTTCTTCATTAAAATTAAAAAATGCTTTATTTCACTTTCCTGCAAAAAACTAATGAGAGAAAAGACATGTCGGCTACCTAATAGAAAGATTTTATAAAAGATCATCAGGATATCAGTTTAATTCTAACATTGTGAAAGCAATTTTGGTATTTTAAATGATGAGATTGTTATATATCCATGGCTTGTGCTTATTTATAAGTAGCCATTTTCGTTAACTGATATACCAAAGAAAATAATTCTGACTGAGTTTTACAAGATCACCTTATTTATCATCTAATGGGTATATATATATTCCATGAAAGGGACAAGGAGAAGTAACCCCTACAAGTATTCTTTAACGGCAAATCATTAGATACTGAGTGTAACGTGTTTGCCTAACACATATACTATATGATTTTTCTCTGGGTCTAGGGCCCCCTCAGATACCTTGCTGAGGAATTTGATTGTTGAATGGAACTTATATACAGATGCAAAATATACAAATATCGGGTGCTTCCCTAGCACGCAAATAGACGAAATAATTAATTAAACCGCCTCTTAATCAGTTGAGCTTCTTTCTCTGAAGCGACTTCCAGAAGCGCCCCAAAGAAACAACCAAAGCGCCAGCACGTCGCTTCTCCCAGAAGCGACAGGTTACTCTTAGATTAACACAGAAAGACCGTTTATGCAACGCTCACGTAGACTGTTACATATACTAGGTACAGTCTGTTCTGCACATCGCCAAGCAATAATGACTTACGAACAGACTTACCTGTACCAATATCCTTTGGCTGGCTTTCTCCTACTGCTCCTGTCTTCTAGCGGACTTCTACAATGGCACTTTATCGCATCAGTAACTGCATCAGAAACTGACTCTATCGAGTCTCGGCGCCTTATATATACAACGAGTATATCACGTGACATACCCGCTCGGAATGTCTGGGCACTCGGCGTTTACGAGCTCAGGGTCCCTTCGGAACGCCCTGTCTCCTTCCCTTAATTATCTATTTCCGTTACATTACCCACGCCTCAGATTCAAGCGTCCTCGCTTGCACAGGAAAACAAACAAAGAGGCATATAATAGACAGTTTTTCTTATTTACATGATTCATATACTGTCAATTTCTTTGACAAGGTAAGCTTTATATACAAGTATTACATCAATAACCTGTCTAGCAAAGATCAACAACATAATCTGATAAATAAGCAGGAGTCCGTCTGCTTCTACCAGATCTTTGGGGCTTCTGATTGATCTCTGGATCATTAACACCCTCTCTTTCAAAGTCCAACTCTTCTAGCTGATCTTGTTGTAACGTGAGATTTTCATTCTGGTCGACATCACCAGAATCACTTAGTTCTACCTCACCAGACAGAATCTGAGGTTTAACCAATCTCATCCTGTCTACATGTATCACTTGTGGCGACCCTTTACTACCACAAGATACTTTGTACGTGAATTCGGAACATTTTTCTAGAACTTCGAAAGGTCCTTGCCAAAAGCTTGTTAGCTTTGGCGAAGTACCCATACGTCTGCGAGGAAAGAATACGTAAACTTGGTCTCGAGGGGAGAATCTCTGCCACCGTAACTTCTTGTCATGGTAGCGTTTTTGACGCATCATTTCCCCTTTAGTATTTTCTCTCACAATACGGTGTGCTTCTTCCAGTCTTTCTTGAAGCAACCAGGCCCATCTATTCTGTGGAAGTGGCTTTCGCTGTACCTCCATTTCGTATACGAGGTCTAGAGGCGTTGTCGCTTCTCTACCAAGCATAAGGTAGTTTGGAGAGAAGCCAGTTGTGTCATGCTCCGCTGATCTATACGCCATCATGACATACGGCAACTGTTCGTCCCAATCTGTATGATTTTTGTTCACACAGGAACTTAACATGGCTTCAAGAGTTCGATTAAACCTTTCCACCATACCATCTGACTGTGGATGGTAGGGTGTAGTGCGAGTCTTTTCAATTTGCAATAGCTCGCACACTGAATGGAACAAATCACTCTCGTATTGACGGCCTTGATCTGAGTGTATTGTATAGGGTACTCCGAATCTAGTGATGACCTCTTCAACCAGAATCTTTGCCACAGTTTTTGATTCCATATTTGGCATCGGGAAACATTCAGTCCAGCGAGTAAAATAATCTGAAACTACCAGTATGTATCTGTTACCAGATTCTGTCAATGGCAGTTCCCCCATAATATCTGTTGCTATTCTATCCATGGGGAATCCATTCTGAACAATTTCCATTGGCGCTTTCTGGCTAGTAAATGATGGCTTCCTTCTGGCACAGATGTCACATCCATTTATATACCGACGAACATCTTTGTTAAGCCCTGGCCAATAAAATTGACTTCTTATCCTTGCAATGGTTTTGTTTATGCCTAAATGACCTGCGGTATGCTTGTCGTGGTATTCCGTTAGAATATGCCTTCTCTCAGACATAGGCACTATTATCTGGAGCTTTTCCGTCTTTGCCTCTTGGTCTATGGTCTTTCGATATACAGTGGACCTTCAGATATCCGGACGCCAGATATCCGGACGCTTCACCTTCCGGACGATTTTTCTAGGGAACGGATTTTTTCAACGTAATTTTGACTCATTTATCCGGAATTCCGCGTTCCGTATCCGGACGGCTCTCTTTTACTACAAAATGTATTTTTACGTTATAAATTGGTTCATTTATCCGGACGGTAAATTTTAATTTGTACTTCCATTCTTGTCAATATTCACGCTTGAACTGAGTGATAATTGTTATCAAAACACTGGCCGGATTGATTGTTTTTACAAGACGATCACCTGTGACCTGTTATGAATGACTTAAGATGATTAGTGCACAGATTAAGCATGCTATGTGGATATGGTCAATACGAGAGATCGTACACAAATGAAAATAAACAATTAACTGTGTTGGTAACAGAAAACAAGTTTCTATTCAGTTATTTGTTATCTACGAGATATTTATAATTTTAGTACTGATCTGGTTTTAAATATTTTTCTATTGATAGACAGGACGACATAGTTTCATAATCTCGTAGTCTACACATGTGCACA